GCTGTCAGAGTGTAGCTCGGGAGCTGCCTCGGGGGTCGGGTCCGTTGAGTCTCCGGGTCCCGAGGGAGTTCTCTTCTTTCCTGCAAAGGGGGGGGGGGCATTTCTGCTTTCCTCGTATCTCCTTGCAGACCTGTACTACTTCCTGTTTGCGCCGACGCTGTGCTACGAACTGAATTTCCCCCGTTCCCCCCGGATCCGGAAGCGCTTCCTGCTGCGCAGGCTCTTCGAGATGGTGAGGCCCTTCTTCCCAGATGGGGGCGGGGGTGTGCGTGGCTCTTTTCGGTGGGTTTGCTGTGGATCTGCCTTTGCCTGCTCTGGGGCATGCAGGTGGCCCCACGTCCCTGTCTGGGGGAAGGATTCCTTTTTCGTCCCGCTGATCCATGGCCAAGAGGACTCCAAACGGTGGCTATGAAAAGTTAAAATTAGAGAAAAGCTGTGGTAGTGTTCTGCCCGGCCCTCCAAAAGCCCCAGGGACTCTAGTTAGCTGAGCTGGTGAGCAGAGCACTGCTGTGTTGTAGCTGGCAGAGGTGGACCCTGGGGGCTGGGGCCTTCCTCTCTGCCACCTTGGCCCCCTTAGAACATAAGAACACAAGAGAAGCCGTGTTGGACCAGGCCAATGGCTCATCTAGGCCAACACTCTGTCTGTCACACAGTGGCCAAAAATGCCAGGTATCCTCAGGAGGTCCAGCAGTGGGGCCAGGACACTAAACGCCCTCCCACTGTTGCCCCCTCCCTCAAGCACCAAGAATACAGAGCATCACTTGCCCCAGTCCGAGAGTTCCTATCTATACCTTGTGGCTAATAGCCCCTGATGGACCTCTGCTCCATATAAGAACAGAAGAGAAGCCAATGTTGGATTGGGCCCATGGCCCATCCAGTCCAACACTATGTGTCACACAGTGGCCAAAAATACCAGGGGGCATCAGGAGGTCCAGCAGTGGGGCCAGGACTCTAGAAGCCCTCCCCCCGCCGCCCCCCCCCCCGGAAGCACCAAGAATACAGAGCATCCCTTGCCCAAAACTGAGAGTCCCCATCTATCCTTTGTGGCTAAGGGCCACCAGTGGACTTCTGCTCTAGATGCTTATCTGATTCCTTCTTGAAGCCGTCCATGCCTGCTGGGAGGGTGGTGTGGTTGAAAGGGTTCCGGTGGGTGTTTGGGGAAACACTCGTTCCAAGCCTGGCTGCCGAGGGGGGAGGGGTCCCAAGCCTGTGCCCCCCCCCACTCACACCTGTCCTTTCTGTTTCCAGCTGTTCTTCCTTCAGCTGCTCATAGGGCTGATTCAGCAAGTAAGTGTGGGGCACAGATGAAGCTCTGGGGGGGGAGAAGAGGCACGCTGGGGAATGAGACTGCCTTAGGGGAGAGGGGGTCCTGGGCTTCTGGGAGGGGGGCCAGGAGGGAGTGCGCCGGAGCGGCCTGGCCAGAAGCAGCTTCCCCGGCAGCTTCCCCGGCTGGACTCCGAAGCCGCCTAAGGCAGCTGGTTGTGGCCGCGGTGCCGTGGGAGCCTGGCGGGGGTTGCTCCCCCTCTTCCCACGGCATGCCTGGCACAATTCCCAGGGGGCTACAGTGAGGCATCTTGGGGGGGGGGGGGGCTGGGAAAGGCACTGGGGGCTGGGGATGCCAAGGGAAAGATTGGCCAGGCCCAGGGCTCCCGGGGCGCAGGGTGGCGAGCCAACAACGGGGCTGCTTCAAGCTGGCCTTCTTGTAAGGCACAGAGGAGAGGAGAGAAAAGGGCCCCAAGGGAGCCCCCTGGAAGCGGGCACCTCTGCTCCCTGTGCCCTGTGAGATTGTGGTCATGCAGCACTTGGCACAGATGGACGCCGGACGGTAGAAGGGTCTGTCCCAAGCTTGGTGTGTGTGTGGGCACGGATGAGTTCCGTGTTCTAGGCCTCGGCGGTTACCTGGGGGTGGGTGGGGGTGGCTTTCTGATGTCGCCAGGGTCAAGGGGATTCCCCTGTTCCAGGCTGCTGAGTGCGCTTGAGTCACAGCGGGTGTTTGGGAGGTGCCAGACTAGATCCCCTGCCAGGTTGCCAGTGTCGTGGTTAAGTGCGCGGACTAATCTGGGAGAACTGGGTTTGATTCCCCACTCCTCCACTCGCAGCTGCTGGATGACCTTGGGCAAGCCATAGTTCTGGTCAGAGCTGTTCTTGGAAAACAGCCGTTTCTGTCAGAGCTCTCTCAGCCCCAGCTACCTCACAGGGTGCCTGTTGTGGGGAGGGGAAGGGAAAGGAGTTTGTAAGGCGCTCTGAGACTCCTCTGGGTAGTGAAGGGCAGTGTTCCCTCTAAGCTGAGTTAGTGTGAACTAGCTCACAGCTTTTTAGCCTCCGGCTCACACATTTTTGCCTTAGCTCAGGAAGGAGGGCTCCAGAGCACACTCATTTATGCAGGAGCCAAATCGCTGGCTCACAACTTTAATGCAAGTAGCTCACAAAGCAGAATTTTTGCTCACAGGACTACACAGCTTAGAGGAAACCTTGTTGAAGGGTGGGGTATAATTCCAATCTCCAACTCTTCCCTCCTCCTCTAATCGGCTGGTGTGTGCTTTTGTTCCAGTGGATGGTCCCCACAATTCAGAACTCCATGAAGCCTTTCCGGGTGAGCAGCTCTCTTGGTCCCCCCTTCCCTGTTACAACCGACACTTGGAAAGCTCCCTTAGACACCCCCCCTCTCACCACCTGGGGGTGGCTTGTGCCTTATTCAGGGGTGGGGGGTGGAGAGGGGAGCCTTCAGCTCTGGTGTACGTGGAGTGACAGCACTTCAGAGGGGAGGGGGGGAAGAACACCCATAGCCTGTCCTTCATAAGCCTGACCTCAGTCGTGGGGGTTGTCAGCATCTCCCCCCGCAGGGGAGGTGCCTAAACAGGACTCCTGTGGGCGAAGGAAGGGTCCCGATCTCTCCTTGCTGGGTCCTGCCTGCATCTCTTTTCTGCCCTTCCTCTTCCGGTCTGGGAGGATGAAATGAGGCACAGAAGTGCCCAGCCACCCCTTAAGCCACCCTGGCTGAGAATGCCCAATTCTGTTTCACAGGACATGGACTATTCCAGGATCATGGAGCGCCTCCTGAAGCTGGCTGTAAGTACTGCATGCTGGGGAGCAGTACTGCAAGTCAGGCATCTGGGGAAGGGCTGTGGCTGAGTGGCAGAGCATCTGCTGGGCATGCAGAAGGTCCCCATCCAAGTCCTCAACATCTCCATCCAAGTCCTCAACATCTCTAACCAAGTCCTCAACATCTCCATCCAAGTCCCCAACATCTCCAGCCAAAAAGGACCAGACAGCTGGCAGTCAGAGTAGACAGTATTGACCTTGATGAACCAATGGGCTGATTCAGTGTAAAAGCCGCTTCATGCGCTCATGTTGCAGTCATCAAACTGGCCTGAATGCCTTTTGGTCTGATGGAGCAGCCCAGGCCTTGCCCCACAGCAGAGAGTCCTTGTTGCCAGGGTTTGACTTGCCTGCAGTGGCTGTTGGTTTGTTCGGGGGTACCACTGCACTTGGCAAAGATGTCCAGGGCACCCCAAGGAAGCTGTGCAGGGCATGCTGGTCAGTGTGGGCTAGACCGCCTCAGCCAATGGAGGCTCTTTCTGGCTTGAAAAGTTAGTGGCCATTTGCACGGCTGGAGCACACATGCTGTCCCCCTGCTGCTCTGGCTGGTGGGGGGAGCAAAGGAAGTGCCCTGATCTTTGCCTTATTGTCCCCAACAGGTCCCCAATCACCTGATCTGGCTCATCTTCTTCTACTGGTTCTTCCACTCCAGCTTGAACGTGATAGCAGAAGTCATGCAGGCGACAACAAGGTTCAGGAAGACGTGTGTTCAAGTCCTTGCTCTGCCATAGACTCTGCTGGGTGTCCTTGGGCCAGTCACTCCCTCAACATAACCTACATCACAGGGTGGTTGTGGGGAATAAAGGGGGGGGGGATCATGGATGCGGCCCAGAGCTTCTTGCAGGAAAAGTAGAAGAGAAATGTGATGGGTAGAAACTGAGTGGATTGGCTGGGAGTGCGTTGCGGGGGGGGTGGTGGTTCTGTGTGAGCTGAGCCTTGTGTGGGTGGAGGTCATTTTCTTCTCCCCCCCCCCACCATTTTGGGTTTTGTGGCAACCAAAGAAGGGGCCGGCTGCTCCTCTTCTCTTGTGGGAGGTTGCTTTTACCCTTGGTGCCTCCTGTAGTGGAGTGGATGTGCCTCCCCCGATCTCCTGGGGCTGCTGTGCCCGTATTTGGGCCCTGGGTCCAAAGAGCCAGTGGGGAGGGGTTGCCTGTACAACAGCCGGTGTCTCTAGCATCCCAGACAGCCGTTTGCTTTGCTGCTCATCTGCAGGAACTCTGAATCCGTGACCTATTTTTGGCAGAACTGGAACATTCCCGTCCACAAATGGTGCCTGAGGTATGTCTTTCCCCAAATTGATGAACCTGCATATGTTAAAATAAAATAGAGCACGGCTGGATCAGACCAGTGAGGGTCCATCTAGTCCAGCATCCCATCTCACACAGTGGCCAACCAGTTCCCCTGCAGGGCCAACAACAGGGCAGAGAGGCCGAGGCCTTCCCTTGATAAGAACATTAGAAGAGCCCTGCTGGGTCAGACCAGGGAGGGTCCATCCAGTCCAGTATCCCGTCTCACACAGGGGCCAGCCAGTTCCTCTGGAGGGACAACCACAGGGCAGAGAGGCCGAGGCCTTCCCTTGATAAGAACATTAGAAGAGCCCTGCTGGGTCAGACCAGTGAGGGTCCATCTAGTCCAGCTTCCTGTCTCCCACAGGGGCTAACCAGTTCCTCCCAAAGTCCAAGAACAGGGCAGAGAGGCTGAGGCCTTCCCCTGATGTTGCTTCCTGGCTCTGGGAGTCAGAGGTTTAGTGCCTCCAAATGTGGAGGTTCCCCTCAGTTACCATGGCTAGTAGCCACTGATAGACCTGATCTCCATGACTCAAGTATGTGAGAACATCAGAAGAGCCCTGCTTGATCAGACCAGGGAGGGTCCATCCAGTCCAGCATCCCATCTCACACGGGCCAACCATTTCCTCTGGAGGGCCAACAACAGGGCAGAGAGGCCGAGGCCTTCCCCTGAGGAGAACCTCAGAAGAGCCCTGCTGGGTCAGACCAGGGAGGGTCCATCCAGTCCAGT